CCCCAAAACCCCAAAACCCCAAAACCCCAAAACCCCAAAACCCCATATTGATGGAAGAAAGTTGAATGTGGTATTTGGCTTCTTTATTCTAAAATACATAACAAATTGCTTAATTTCTTCTGGTGATTATTGGAAACAAGCCATTCTCTAAAGTATCCCTGTATGGCAACATGTAGCATTTTCTCTTCATCACTACTGAGATCTGCTGCTGATATCTTCTCTTGCAACTTGGCAAATATCTCACTTCGAGCCATTAATGCATCAAGGTAGGTCTGGGGTGTCAGTAGGAGTAATGAATCTGTAAATTCTTTACTGGGCATTCATAATTTTAAAAATTCAGCCTCTTCTAAAATGGCAAATGTTGATTTCTCCCCGCTGGCGAGTGTTGGCTTTGAGAAGTTATTTTACCAAGGATGTATGTACAGGTATCTTCGCAGCCTTTAAGTGATCACTCAAGGTTGTATAGCCTACATTATGGGGTCCTAGAATTACATTTTTATTGTCACCATATAGAAATGGGACATTTGTTCCAGAGTAAACTGAGATAGTACAGTCAATAGAATTTCCAATTCTTACAAAATTAGATGCAACAGAGACTTGAGTCTTTTCACATTTATCTATAGTTACTGACATTTCACATGCAGCGATCATTACTGTACAGTTTGTTCAATATGAGATAGAAACAGAATTCACAGCTGAGTCGAGATAAATGTAAGAATCCTCACAATCCTGCAATCTGATGTCCTTCTTAGCAACAGTCTCATCATCCCTAATGGTTACACAATATGTGAGATTTTTAATGTTTAGTTCTGCGTCTGGCTCTTTGTCTCAAAGGTTTTCGCTTATCCATAAATGCAAGTCCATCAGAGGTACTTTGGAATTATCAATAAATAAGGGACAAAGTCTACTGATTGGGTCCTTTGTTTCTATACCTCCTTCTTCAACTTTCATGATGATTCTCAGCGCATTTAGCTCATCTTTGTTAAGGGAGATATCCTCCTTCTTATGAATCTCAGAAGCAATGAGCTTTAGAATCAATCTCAAATTCGTCTTAGTAAAGTGTAAAATGATAGAAGTCTCGTTGCTAGTGTATGCAACCTTCGTTGCCTTCGATCTTGGTGACGCAATCGGACTGTTAGATCCTGGTCCACTACCCTTTGCTCCAGGCCAAGCTGTATTCGTGTAATTATTATGAGTGACTGTATAATCCTTAGTTCCATGTATGAAGAGTTGAATAAACATGAAAAGGGCAAATCATCTGACATCTACAGTCTCTATAGTGGCTGGATTATCAATTTTGACCTCTTCATCTCCAATCTCTGTTCCTTCCATTTCAAATCTTGATAGAAGAATAGCATATGTTTTAAAATAGGTCTCTGCTTCAGCAACTGTCATCGATGGGATATGCTTTAGAGCTTGTTCAATCCATTGAAAAATAGTTATCTTGTAGTGTACAGTGCTAATAATATGCAAAGCCTTAAATAGGGACAACAAGCTCTGCTCAGAAAGTTTCGCTTGATTTGGATACACTCAGTGGTCAAACAGTTCGTTTCCTATAAAATATATAAGCATTTAAAAAGAAAGATATATTACTTATTTTGAGTTTGATTGATTCCATTTTAGTACTTAATATTTCAATTTAAATTATTTAGGTTGGGGTTTTGGGGTTTTGGGGTTTTGGGGTTTTGGGGTTTTGGGG